ATGTATAAACGCCGGGCATTTATATTCTATAGTCAAAAGCAATTTATTGACTTAACTGTTATAATGAATGTACCTAAAAATGATGCAATCATTTCCAAGGATCCAGAGGCTAACGACTGTAGTCGTATAACTGACAAACTAAATTTATTGAATTTTAATATCGTCTTGTTATATTCAGCGCGTAAAACTATAGGTTGACATTAAGACAACTGCAAACGCGTCATACTTTGGAAAAAAAATTGCCTAATTTGTTAAAGTGATTAAAATAATTTATTTACGTTTCTGCTCCAAGTTAATCAGAATCCAAGTTAAATTCAGGCAAAAAACATATTTAGCACATGTTGTTTTCAACGACATTTGTTTCCGTGTTTGTAGCTCTTCGCAAACACTTCTTCTTTCAACTTATTTTAAACTCACCTTGTGCTTTCGAGCGCAATCGGCGCAGAAGTAATGAGAGCACGATGTAACCACATAGGACTCTTGCAGTAGGTTTCGGCAGGTACTGCAGGTTGCTATCATTCGAATCTTTCCAGCCAATTCGATTGCTGTGCGCTCGGCTAAGAGCGCCATGATTTATGGGTAATCCTGGGAATATTGAGCTGAACACACAATTAAATCAATACACATAAAGCTAAATAAACTCCCGGTTTTCTTTCCGTCTCAGTAGACAAGATGCCACTGAGACAATACTCGGATCCTGCTGCCCTTCTAATAGACGAAGATTTTCGCCATTTGTTTAGTCCAAACCTCTTCGTAACGCCTATGCTAAACGAAACAGTTGCAACGTTTTGAAAGATCGGTTGTTCATCTAGCATAGATCTTTAGGATGAGAACACTATATATGCTTAAAACAGCGGAGAATATTACGCGACTTTAAGTCTATCGAATTTAGGCATATTTTGTACTTTGGAAAAGCTCTAATAGATATTGGCGCCGAACATGAAAATGGTAAACTGATCTTTGCTGAAGCAGTCGAGCATAGGCATGCGAAAGCTCTGGTAAAGAATAAGCTGATTTTATACCTAATTTAAGCTATCGTTATTGTTGTCACTTGCATTTGTTTCGCAAAAATAGCCTAAATGTACCTGTTTTAGAAGCCTAATAACAGATATTTCTAGTGGCGGGCAGTCGTCTGCTCGAAGTTAGTACTTTTAAGAATTCCCTCACCCTCAAGAGTCGGGCGAGAGTCAAGATGTCAACACCATGAAAGTATGTTGTTTTCAAAAAACGCAATGCAGGAACGCCAAAGCAACCATCTGACGAGTTGCGAGAAGTTACTTATGAGATTTTCAGAATGGTTCCTTAGTGACAAACTGAATTCCTAATAAAAAAATATATGTGACCTTACAGGTTGTTCCTTTGTGTGATTCTTCCACATGTTGTTTGTGTTTTCTTAACGCCAAATTGTTATCGTTCGAAGAGTGCTGTGTGTCGCTGTCAAGAAAGAAGTTCCTGTTCGATTGCGTTTTCGTGCCTGAACGGCAATCACGATGACGGACGTCGAAGTAGAGGAATTTGGCATAACTGAATGGGATCTGGAAAATGAATTTAACCCGAATCGGGTACGATACAAGCAGTCAAGAGAAGATCAAATCTACGGAGTATGGGCTGACCACCGAAATAGTGACGACGACGAAGACGAGAGACCGGCGTTCCGGGGAGCACCGCGAGGTGCTGCGCACGCGAACATTTCATTTGTATCCGGAGGAACCGCCGGAAGCTCCAATACTGAAGAAAAAGCGACCGAAAATGACACCAGAGAAGAAATCGAGATTAGAATACCGACAAAGAAGGTTCGCAGCATGGCTGGCCCGTCAGGAATATTCGCAGGCGAACGAAGTGCGCTAGGCTCTACAATTGGCACTTGGGAAAAGCATACGAAGGGCATCGGGGCCAAACTTCTACTTAAAATGGGATATCAGCCAGGAAGAGGTTTAGGAAAGGAACTTCAAGGAATATCGGCACCGGTCGAGGCAACACTTCGCAAGGGCAAAGGTGCCATAGGAGCTTATGGGCCTGAAAAACCTGCCCATAAGATCGCTGATACAGTAACTGCCAATGTTGATGAACTTGAGCTAAAACAAAAACGTGAAGCAAAACAGTGGCGACGCGGCGAGAAAAAGGTAAAATACGTATACAAATCTCTAGAAGAAGTTCAAAAAGAAGGCGCAACTTTTGTCGATCGGCAGACCGGGCCAAAGGTGAAAGTTATAGACATGACGGGACCGGAACAGAGAGTTCTCTCTGGTTATCATCAGCTCGCCCAACATCGACCAGACGAAGAATCTACCACAAAAGGGCCCCAGGGCAATTTCAGCCTCCCAGAACTTGAAGACAACCTTGATATACTCATAGAAACTTGCGAGAACGACATAAAGCGCAATACGAGTCGAATAGAATGCGAAAAAAATCGCATCACGAATCTACGCTTTGAACAAGAACGACTAATCCAAGAACAGGATGAGGGTCAAAGTGTCCGAGATACCCTGAAAAAATTGCACGAAGCCCTACGCGAGCTGGAGGATGGCTGCGGATCTAATGCTGTGCGTGCCCTTAGCGTTGGAGAAGTATGCATGATTTTCAGAAGGCTAGTCGAGGAGTTTGAGGGTGAGTTCAATCAGTTTGAACTGTTTGATCTAGCACCATTAGTCATCTTCCCATTAATGAAAGACTTTTTATCGGCATGGCAGCCTCTTGAAAGGCCTAATCATGGCGTTGAGGTGTTTCGGCAATGGAAAAACATCTTAGAACGGTCTCACAGGCCTCGCAACGCACCGGATTATTTCTACAACCTCATGTGGGAGGTATGGTGTCCTCCTGTTCGGCAATGGATCTTCCGGTGGTCGGCGCGAAACCCTGATCCTTTAGTGAACTTGTTGGAAATTTGGAAGCCGATCGTTCCTGCCGGCGTAATGAGTCACCTTTTAGAGCAAATCATATTGCCACGTATACAGCAGGAAGTAGAGCAGTGGAATCCGTTGTTAGATACGGTACCGATTCACTCATGGATCCATCCTTGGTTGCCATTAATGTCAGACTCGCTGGAGCCCGTCTACCAACCTATTCGAATGAAGCTTAGTTACGCTCTAACGAATTGGCATCCGAGCGACTCATCTGCTAAACTTATCCTTGAGCCGTGGGTTGGAGTGATGCCGAAAGGCTCTCTTGAAGCATTTATTGCTACTAATATTATACCAAAGGTATGTTCTTTACGATATACTATAACTCTGTAGTTCTCTGTTATGAATCACTCACATTCGAGCTATTCTTGAATAGAAGCTAATCAAAGACGGCATTTTCAAGACATGAATCTCAGTGATATTTTTTGACCTCGTCAACAATTGGTGTATTAATGATATCAATTTTATGATTAATAAAAATAAAATTACTCAAATTTTATAGGTAAATCCATGAAAATATGCAACCTCGCTTCTTATGTCCTTGCGCTTTTCTCTCACATGCCTATACTTTCTTTTTTCCTTTCAATTTTTAACAAAAACGATTTTTTTGCTTTTACTTGAATTTTATTTTCAGCTAGGTGCCGTTCTGCAAAGTTTTGTCATTGACCCGCGCAATCAGGAATTTGAGCCATGGCAATGGTTTACGGCGTGGGGTGATATCGCACCAGTGGCCGCCCTGATCGCCGTCTTGGACAAATACTTCTTTCCGCAGTTTCATCAGGTTCTATTTCAGTGGTTGCAAACGTCTTCGAACTATGACGAAATGGCAACGTGGTTCTCCGGCTGGAAAGCCGCTTTTCCCGACCGCGTTTTATCCGATAATCGAGTACGTGAGCAGTTTCGTCTCGCGCTCGATTTGATGAATCGCGCCGTGTCAGGTCAGCCGATCCAGGCAATTCGACCTCCTGAATTCTACCCTCAACCTCCGTCGGTCCAGCAACAGGCCCGAGACAGATTCGCTGCACCGATTCCAACAGGACATAATCTTAACTTTACGTTTAAGGAAATGCTGGAACGTCGTGCGCAGGAAAAAGGCGTCTTATTCATGCCTATAGCAAGTCGGAAACAAGATGGAAAACAGGTGTATCAGCTAGGGACTGACCGACAGCTCTACCTCGATCGAAGCGTAATTTTCGTGTTCAATGGCCGTACTTGGGTACCGACATCGATGGAAAGTTTACTTGACAGTTGTTGATCAATTGCAGGCTGCCTTTTGAGTTGATTTCTAATATAGTTGACCAGCACTATTTTTGAAAGAAACGAATAACAATAGACTTTCTCAAATAAATATGGATCTATCTACTTGAACCGTACGAAGATCATATTTATTAAGGCGATTAAACGCTATTCTGCTGACGATTGATCTTGTATATATTGAAATTTAAATAAACTAATTAATGATGTGTAAGTTTGTTTTGCAAAATAGATGTAGTTTGTGGTCATTGATTTTTCCAATTTAAAGATAATTTTACAAATAACGGAATAACCTTTAATGATTCCCATCTGCCTAAGAAATATGATGATGATATGATATGATGTATCAGCTGAAACGTTCCTCGCAACGAAGTTCTTTTGTTAATCCCCATCTGGCTCCGGCTTCTATCACTAAAATCGGAGAATATTGCTCAAAATAGTAATATAAACTGGAAGCTTTGGGACAAAGTGAAAATAATTTCCAGTGTCAGAATATTAGGAACGGAAAGGATGGAAAACGATGAGGAGCATCTGCACCACGTACGAAATTGATCCGATTTTCTTGAAAGGCTGAGGCAAACTGAAAAAATATCAAGAGAATGTTTATTGTAGTGTCCACATTAAAATCTTCAAAGATTTCTTTGCGTGGTCTCAAATTATTCAGAAGAACTTGATCGCTTGGTGTTTCTTGATTAAAAAAGGATCTCCGCACCAGTTTAACCCGGCGTACCTTTTGAAATATCCCCATAATTTACCATCTAACAATCCAAAACCATCTAATATCACATTATAAATTTGCTTGCATAATCTATACTACTTAATTAATTCTCAGTAATACTTTAAAAAATAACGACGCAGTATTAACAGAGATTTATGCCGTAACAGAGAAATATGTTTATATAGACTCATTTTTGTTGTTGTTGTCGATAAAACACTACATATATATCTTGTATTTAGTATGTACAGAGTAAACAATGTATTTACAATAGCAACTTGTCGTAATCATTATGATCTTCTTCAATATCGTACGTTTAATATATATATATAGCGTTTACCATCACTTTATTAACCATAATATGTATAATTGTCATGTCTTATATATATATATATATAACTATATTCTTATATATGTTTCCATATGAGTGTATGTATTTGCTTATAATTAGCGGTTGGTGACAGCGACTCAAAAGGGAGTAACAATCCATAACCGACACACTCATCTTAAAGGATCATTTTTGTCCTCCATTAACTAACGCCTCGAACGACTTGTCTCTATTATTATTCACGTCTCAATGTTCTTGCCGTAGTTAATCAATCAATTAAGCGTTTCAATGGTCAGTCACAAACAACAGGCATACGTTTTTCTTTTATCTAATAGTAATTATAATTCATAATTATAATTCAATTAATATCAACAAATTTCTGTTGTCATCTATCGATCTTTTTCCTAATGCCTCTCTTTTCGATATTCACTTATCTATTCAGCTTTTTTTCCTAATTAATCTCCCTCACTTGCACAGATAACGTGCGCCCGACACTCTGCTTTCCCGTTATGGTCTTCCTCCTATTATCTACAGCATTATCATTGTCAACATCATCACCTATCAGTTCATATTAGGCTGCGTTTTTTCTACCCACCAACAAGGAAGGCATGGTCCTTGGCTCTAATACGGTCATCGACTGGTTGTTCTTTTAATTTTGTTCACACAAGAACGCAATATGTTCGGTCTTTTCCGTTAGTTCACCGCCTTCAGCTTTGCGATCTAGGCAGTGTTTTAATAAAATTGGTTTGGAGATGATTTGTGTAGCGCATGTTTACAACATCACCACCTAGAGGTCTATTATTCTCTTCACTAGGCTGTTTTTTTTAATGCTGATATGCTTGTTGGAAATTTGCCTTATTCAAGAAGGTCTAAGTGTTTCTGTAGCCGTCAAGGCTAAGGAGAAGTCCATATGCCGTTACTATTAGTAAATGCGTATATTCTGTTTTTTTTCAGTTATATTTTTGTTGCTGGTACGAGTACGTGCTCTGTTTCTGATCACCGAAATTGCAACGAATGGGCTGTGTGAGCTACTTTAGATCGGTTTCATTTTTTTAACTAGTCTGGGAATAGCGCAGCAAAAAATAGCCTTGATTCGGTACTGAAAAGTAAAAATTTTAATCAACAGTTACATAATACAAGCATGTTAGTGGCATCAAGTTTAGCAAGATTTTCTAGCGTTACTAGTTTTTTCACCGGTGTTTATATTTTTCTTCTCTGTATTATTGTTTTTATTATTTCACTGTTCTCATGATGACCATTTAGTAGCGTTCATTTTAATAATATAATATAGCTATAATAACCCTCTCGTTTTATATTGCGATATTAATTAATCGCTAATTCTCCAGCTTCATCTTATGTTGTATAACAAGATGGTGTGTCCACCATGATGAATAGGTACGTATAGCAATCAAAAGGCAATACCAACAACGCGGTAAAAACAGTATCGTGTTAATAACGCTAAACATGAAGTTCTAATTAACTGCAATAAAGAACTCCAATATATAATAATAAGAACCAAGTAATCGTAATAAAGAGTCAAACATCGTTTCGGGTAGTAACAATCAGCGCTATTACTATTAGTATTATTCTAAAAATTTCTAAAAACAATGATTCTTATCGAGGTTTTTATTTTATTGTCGCTGCGACTAACATAATAATTCAATGGTATAATAGTTTGTTAAACTTGCACCGAAAGCCCTAATCATTACAGTCGTGTTTCTTAAACAGTGGGGCCTAGTAGCGATGCAGGGTAATGTGAGCGGGAAACAACCTTAGTGCAGCTCAGTCTAATCTTAAATGTGGAAAATATTTGGGACTAGGTATAAATTCCATAAATCTCATCCGAACTAGGTTAGCATAATGAATTTTTTTACAATGTCGGCCAAAATACAAAATCTGTTTGTTGCAATAAGCCACAGTGAATAACGGTATTGATGGCGCCACTACCGGAAAAATGCCAGCATTTTTAGAATTGCTGCAAGATCGTAACCATTTTCGTTTTTTGCTGTACAGCTTTTTGTGTTAGTTATAGGTGATTGTAAAAGCCTTTTTCTAATGTTTTTGTCATATGACTTTAGACCTACCCACGTTGAAGCTGTATCGAATAACCGAAATTTTAAATATAAGCGTTTGTTTGTGCACCTTGCTTGCTTTCTCGCTGCCCTCGAAAGCAGGCTGTGTTTTATTGGTGCTGTCCATGATTACTTAATATTCTCGACGCTTTCTTCTTTTTTTTTGTCTTCCTGTTGGGCATTTTACATGTCAGATTTTACATTAATGGATTACCCATAGACCTTCAGAGAACCTTGCCTGAATCTTACCATTATTTTGCGATACGAATTCAACCTTTACCATACAGCTAACAATGAATACACCTCAATTGGACCTTTATCTATGGGGTTCGGCAGTTTGCTGGGGTGTTAGAATTCGAGCTGTAATTAACTCAAAACAAAGAACTGTAACTTTAACAGCTAGTTACAAGTGCTAGTCTACGCTATTCCCAATGCTTAAGTATATGGCAGAGTCGAGCCCTGTCGCATTGAATACTTACTTGTGTGTGTGTAAGGTGCCATCGGAAGCCTCCATTAGAGCCATTACGGGAGCGGAAAATGGCCGCAATTACTAAGGATTCCACTGCCGTACGCGAGCGGACCTCGAACAGGGTAAACGGGAATGACCTGGAATACCGCCCGTATAACTTGCATCTTATTCCGGTAACAGATCAATTGATCGGCCATATGACGAAAACAAGCGCCAGCAGGCGGACAATACAATGTTGGACATATAACAGGGTCGTGCACGTTTTGCGACAAGTTTCCATTGCACAACACTCTACGAGTCACATCTACCGAAGTGCACTAGAGACGAGAATCTAGTGCCATCTGATAGATGTCCCACACATTAGACAGCGGCAATTGAACTGAACTTCAAATGAACATTTACATTCGATCTCTGTATTCAATCAGATACACATAGCCTCAACATGAACATCATCATTATCAGGTGCCTGATAATAGTTTTTATCGGCATTTTGATAACATCTTATCCGATGCTATCTACATGTCATTAATAACAACAGTAGAACAGTGGCAAGAGCCTTGGCTTTCTTTTTCATTGGAGTTGCAATTCAATAAAAACTATAGTAATGATAAAGGTAGTTCACTAGGAAACAATACATTAGTGTTTTTTTACTTAATGGTAGAATACAATGAAGTCGAATTAACTTAGATTTATATATATATATATATATCGCATGATTTCTGCTGTGTCATATAATAATCGTATGTTAATATGTACGTTGCTCAGCAATTAGTTTGATGAAGAACTATTTACCACTGTCTGCGGCGCACCAGCGCACCGTCTCTTATATATATATATATATATATCAGACTGGCATATACACGACATCATTGTAATAGAGCGATTATCTTTTCGCTTCCGCCTTACATTCTTCAGCATCATGAGTTTTAAACAAGTGAACCAAAAAAGGACCACAAAGAATCACACGTTGATACAGAGGACGATTGCCGTGACCGGAGGCAAAATATCAAACTCTTTCACTATATGGATCATTACAGTTATCATTGAACAGTTTTCTAATTAAGTTGCTTCACTATGCTTCTCTATAGATGTATAACGGATGATCTATTTATATGGGCGTGTATATATATATATAAAAGGAGGGAGGGAGAGAAAATTTGCTGTTATTGTCATCGTAAGATCGGAAGAGCACTGGGTTTTCGTACAAGATGCAATAATAAGCAAGTGCTGTCGTGTTAGTCACGGCCATAATATGATCGATCAATGTCAAATGAATAACCATCGGTAATCAATCATCACCTTGATGTCTTTCTTATAGACATATATATCTGTGTGTATATATATACTCCATATCTATTGACAACATATGATAATATGTATCCGGTAGAAATATAGACTATCATTGCACAGGAGAAAGCTCATGTTTACATGATCGTTATCATTTAATTTGACTTCACATGTCTTCTGCTTATATTACTATAGCTTTGTTCCTTGACCTTAACAAGTCCTGCCCAATACATTGCATGCAGCTTTTTCCACATGGCGCGTTATCAGCCTCGCACGATCCCCTTGAACAGCGCGACGACATCATCAGTTACTAGTATTGGTTACCGTCAATCTATCATCATTATATTTAGCTCCGCAACATGATCTCTATCATTTTTACGTTCAGTATGTCGGCGATATACGTTCATGCGATGTGGTCATGATTCAAGTAAATGTGATACCCAGAGGCAAGCGAAACACTTTGGAAGGGGGCAAGCATTCAATGCTAGGTGGCGCAACTAGGTGACTAATATAGTTTTAAGTTAATTTTAATTCCAACGAATTGTTGGCGATCTTCAGCAACAAAAGATAACACAGGATCTATTATTACAGTAAAGCAATGATTGTTTATCACACTCGGATAGCACATCGTCCGAATCATGTTCACCCCCTTGCAAGGTTGTGTGTTTGCCGTGGCCATTTTTCATCATCAGCATTTTTTGTCGTATTTTCAAGAAACATTGTTATACCGTTACTACTCGTTAGATTGTCGTTGTTACCGTTGTTGCTATCAAATGCGGTGAGTGCGGTAACAGACGTGAGCATGGATACATTATGTACAAATATTAGGTTGATGGCTGTTTTTCTATTTTGCTTATTCCGTTTTAACGGCCCATAGCCATTGATCGCCGGTAAATAAAAATACAGAAGATAAGAAAGTTGTAAAGGAAAACGGACAATACTTATGCATCGATCCAATTTTACCGATATTCTATATGGATCGAGTCGTAGAGATGCGCAGATCAGGCACGAGTAGAACTCACAAGGTCGTGATTGATATATGCGTTGCTGCATTGTTTTTTTTTTGATAGTTGCACATTGCAACAGTGATACGTTGATCGGGTGATGATCTATTAATATTTTCATTTTGATAATCGATAATAAGTAGGCGAAGTGAAAATGTTTCATCAAGGAGTAGGATTGGTAGGTTTTGTCCGGATTACTGTGGCGAAAATTCGGATTCTATCAAAAATGATGAAACGTATCGTTATTTTATCTAATAGGTATGTTTATCATATCTCCTATATTTTACTACGTTATCATCGTTATTGTTACATCGTCCTTGCATTATAAATAGAGTGTAGAGAAAGAGGAGATAACAATTCCCGTTACCGAGTCAGCAACAAGCGGCTTCATTACTATGAACATGTTGTATTATTTATTTTCATTGGCTCAGCAGTATCACGATTTTAAGCGTTTTTGTGTCTAGTCGTTCGCCTTGAAGCTGCGCGATGCGAAACGCTCCTCTTTAGCAGCAGCAGCAGTCCAATTCGATATACTACGACACAGCAGAACACCAATAAAGGCGAGAACTTGAAACATTTTTTCAAACGTGAACTCTCATGCTTTAAGTTTAACGCCGAAGGTGCAGCAATTTCATATTAGCTATCTTTTCGAATAAATAAAAGCCGGCCGAAAAACAACTAAATTTTACAGTAAATGCACCTTGTTTTCGCAATCCAATACACGTATCTGACAAAGTGTAACTCAATATTAGACATCATCTCTTTGGTTTTAAAACGAAAATTTTCTTATTATCATCAAATTAAGGCTGAGTACATACCAGTGTAATATAGCATTTCCTTGTTTAATCATTGTATTACAACGGTTTGAAAATATTCTTCATTAATATTGTCGATAGATATTTTTCACCGGTCATCGCTTAGACATTGGCTTTGCGTCACTTGTCCCTCACTCTACTTTTCCCCTAAAAAACTGGCAGATATCTCGCACTCCATCTCAAAAAAGGTAGCCGAATATTTTCTTTTTTGTGTGTTTTCACGTGTGTTTGTAGTTGGAGTGGTTCATGCTGTGAAGATCGCGATCGTTACAGACTATCATTGTTAATTTTTTTATTCATCGATTGGGTAATTTCTGTTGTTTTGGTGAATTCTATAGTCAGCACAATCGTTAGCATTACCACTGCCGGTCTTTCAGCACGTACAACCGACTGAGGATATATATCATTATCATTAGCACTAAACTACTTTTCTTAGGGAACACGGACTCGTAAGCAAAGGTTATTAAATCTAAAAAAGAATATATTGTATCCATGACGAGCTGCAGGACCTGAAATATCGTCTAAGCATGAGAAGAAGTAATATATATATATTGCGTACCTCTATTAATGTAATATTCTGTGGATCAATGTTTATTCGAGCCTGATTGTCTGACGCTTGGAACGCGGCAGCAGAGCAGTTCAGACGGTAAATCATCAGCAAACATCTATACACAAGCATATATTGAGACCGAATACGATATGCCAATTATTTAAGATACGTAAAAATATTCATTCTGGACTTACGGCGATTTACCGCTTCATCGAATCGAACCCCATCGTTACTCGTGCCTATGGTTTTAAGTACGTTCGCTCCTGTTTCAATATGACAGTCATGAGATACAGCGAAAGCTGTTTCTGTTCCATAATGCATTCAATCTTTCCTTCTTCCGTAGCGCAATCTTGTTAATATAAGGAAATATCCAATTGATGAGCTTTGAAGATACGTGCGTGCGTCGTGGTTTCCTTACAAGAAAAGATGAGTAATCAGCTCGCAAACAGATACAGGATAGGCAAATACTTTGATTGCTATTACTGTTGCAAATCATATGCTAACTAGCACGTTGAGATTGATTTTTTAAGCGTCCTAACGAGAGATTAATCTCAGCGTAAACCGCGATAGTGTATGAAAGTCACGTAAATTACAAGATGGATACTTTATGCACGGATTTGCGCATGTACAACGGAGCACAGCGATCCAAACGAGGCCCCCGACGGCTCCAGTTTAGTAAGATTTTATACTGTGAAGACAATCTTTTCTCCGGTTTTTTTGGTGACGACTCTAGTGTTTGTTCTGTACACTTAAAGACAAGGAGCTACCAAGGTTTTATCAACGTTGCTTTTAGAAGTACTTGAGACTCTCGCCTAGCTTCAGTTTACCTTCTTTTTCATTCACTCACATTCATCTGAGTAATTAGCTCAATGTCTGCATTCGATATTTTAGCGACAATCGCCTCCATTTCACTGGTCCGTCTGGTTGCGCCCCATTAAAGCTTTATCTATGACTTGGACGTTAACTGAATATTAGCTAGCAGTAGCTCGTGAGCTAGCAAAAATAGGTAAGGAATCTCTTGTTAATCGCAGCGGAAAAGGTTAGTTTGCTTCGACCTAGTTGTTGCTACCACATTCCAGGCGTCAACATCCGTTCCGCAGCTGAGAATATTTTCATGCGTTGTTAATTGTCCACGAAGGACCCCTGTCGCGATTAGGATTTACAGGATAAACACCTGTACATCTGCACTACCCTTCGTACAGCTCTAGCACAGACCAAAATGCGATCAGTAGATTACGGGTCGAAGTCCCACAATTTTATACGTTTGCTTGCTTTAAAATAGTCTATTACCGTTTTCGTTTTCCATATCCTCTTACTGATAATCAAACACTAGCACATAACGTCATTCCGCACAAATGAGAGCCACCCATATTCTACCATTCTAGGCCCGCAATTTGTTTCCTTCTTTCTCTTTAACAATACGATTCCGTGATTGTTGAGCAGTTCACGACAACAGCTGTTTCCGTTAATTCTGTAGTTGCCCTTACCACTTGTTCCTGTCCAACAGACAGTCTTATATGTTTTTCGTTCTTGTCCATCTGCCGTCGTTGACATCGAAATCATTTGTCTACTGCTCTTCCTAACTAATATAACCTTCCACGATTTACCTTTTTTTGTCTTTCCTAGGCATTTTCTCCTGTGTACAAAGCGTACAAGTCATAGTGATTGAACTTTGATGTTGATGTTTCTGGTACCCACGTTCGTGTTGTCGTTGCTGCCGTTGTTTAGTGACGACAGTGATATGACTTAGTTTGGGCTTTTCGTTCAGGCTTCCCTAGGACGCCGTGAAGCCGTGGGCACCCCCTACAGCTGCCATGATCGCGGCCTCCTGCTCAGGTAGTAGCTGAAGATTTTCTAAGTCATATTGATCGCCCGGGAAAAGGTCATCAAAGCCGAGCATAGTATCGTTGATGTTCGAATTTGGCATGGGCACGTCAACCGGCTGTAGAATACCACCACCAGGGGGCACACCTCCACCCTGGCCGCTGCTAAGGGATGAATGCATTTCATGATGCGGAGATAAAGGCAAAGGAGATCCAGTTGGTGAGGGGGAAGGAGTGAAGTACTGACCTCCGCTGCCAACCGAGGACGACAACACCTTCAAAGAGTTATTACTACACTCATCTAACAAAGCCCCTGGTTCTGCAACATAAAGTTCGTATGAAACAAGCACGCGCAGACAGGCAGGCAGATGCAAAAGCATAAAACCCCATTAATAACTATCAATACAAATATTATATGAAGTTAAGTATATATTATACAAGAATAAACAATAATTGTAAATACACAATGCATATATCTATATACATATAATGATGAAGGAAATTCTATATGTATCTATATATCGTATCGTATAGTATTGTATTTACTACTAGGTGCCTTATGTCTGAACGACACAGTTTGTGATGCACTTGAATAATTAATCAAGTTCATCACAAACATCCTACTGAGACCATTACTATTGGAGCTGAGTGTTAACTCGGTATAGCCATTTAGAACTCGCTTTCTTTGCAAGTGCATTGCAAGTTAGACTGGCTTACCCGTAAGAATAATTTCGGGAATCCCCGCAGATCCTGGACTCTGTAATCCACTGGCAAGGCCATTGTAATAGCCCTGAAGGCCGTCTGTCGTCTGAGTCATCGTTTGGTCTGCCTGACTCAATTTATTCAACTCGACGAGATTATAATACGCGTCATAAATGGAATTGCTTCCACCATTCAATGCCACCTGGTGCAGAACCCTTGTGGGCAGGGAGTGAGGCTGCTGCTGAACTATTCGGAAGTTGCCGTTACCTGTACCGGCCGCCATAGCGCTCGCATTATTGGACATTGGGGACTGTAAGATGTTTGACAGGACAACAGAATGAAGGTAAACGAGAGCAACAAGAAATATGTTAAATAGCTTTATTCGTTTCGTCTCGATACACGCATTGTACAGTTTATACCCGGGCATTGTTAGACATACCACATAGTTTGTCTAATACGCAGATGTGGTAGGTGAATATAGCAAAAACGCAAAAAGCTGAACTTATGTAAATATTAGGGGAAAATGCTTTAATTAATGGCATGGAATACGAAATTTGCTTTAAAGCTTAGATAACCAGGTAATGTGCTGTAATTTTATCATGTTTCGGTCTACAATGCCATTGATAACGTACAAGCCTGCGAAATATGACTAATCGTTTACTTATATTAATCATTCTAATTGTAACGCATATCGCCCAATTTGATAAATTTTTGTCTTCCCCCTTTCCGGCCGCGGAACATCGAACCATGTAGAATTTAATAGTAAAACGTAATCAAAAAGTCTACAGTTTCAATAAATAGATGATGGAGTGAGCAATGTCTATCTGAGACGTTTTTCCTCGCTTTCTTTTTTGGAGCAAATGTTTCTGGAGCGACATCAGGCAGTCACGATGCAAACCACTAGCGGACGCTGAAGTGATACAAGATTTCAACCCTTATTCTTACGCAGATATACGTACATAAAAAACAAACTTGACAAAGAAGCGCACTGAGAGAAAAGCAATAGCAAGGACGTCCGAACGCGCATGACCAACATCCCATAAATGTTAGGTGTACGAGGTTACGTGGGATAGCCATAAAAAATGGCAACTAGAATGGAAGCGTTTAGATTACGTTTGGTATAGCTACTCGCGTAAGCAATATCATGTGATAGAGTAGGAGCCAGCTAACTGCACTAGGAATTGAATAACGATAGCCTTACAGCAGAAAGGCTCTGTAGGGACACCAATCAAACAAATTCAATAACTATCACATTACGCGGGTTTATCGATCTCATTAAAGATGTACTCTGTAATATGTAGCACATGTCATGCCTCTCACGCGAGCCTCATGTATATATATATATATATATACATATAAATCACCTAAAATTGTGCGATAATAAGGATCTCTGCAAGAACGTAGTGACTGATAACGGTAAGTAGAAGACACTACAAAGAGCGAGAGTCGAACTTGTTTATGCGGGTATATTTGTTGAAAACGAAGTTCGAGTTACCACATAGGACAGTGTAGCTAGGTTGCGAAGAGCACAAACAAGGAAAAAGCAGACAGAGGGGAAAGTAGTAGGCAGAAAAACAAAGAGAGAAGGGCTATGAAAAAGTTCGCAAGTAACGGAGAAGTTTGCCTAGGTTTTATCGTTATATAACGAACTACTAATTAGCTTCCAGATGTGTTTAGAGGCCTGTTGCAAGACCTAATTGGCTTTTAAAAAATAATTTTGCGATGACAAATTTCGGTTGTTCATTCTTGATGCCATTGATAGACAGCCGCTCTTGGATAAACAACATCTTGTGACACGAAACCCAGCTTTGTTTTCAATTGTTTTACCTTTCTTCGGATTTAAATAAGACGCAAGCCGCTGTTTACGTGACGATGAGTAGGTTACACTTGACTTTTACTTGTACCTAAATCTAATGCCAACTTAATGATCGCGAAGTCATCATTAGAGGCATTGCAGTCTATTATAAAACAGTAACGAACTTCACTTTACTCTGCTGGGACAGGAATATATAAACAATAGTTCAATGATATAGAAAGTTAATAAAATCATAAAAATTAGTTCGGCGTAACAAGTTCTTCATCTCTGCAAAATGTGCACGGTTTTCGACAAATTTCATTTTTTATTGCACAAAAATACTTTCCAGTGCCTGTTAACGCAATACAGCAGCTCAATGTGTGTCTAATAAGGCAGCGTAGTATCTATAGCAAGAACGTTGTTAGTAAAAGCTTATAAAGTCAGGGGGTTTATAAAAGTTCTGCGTACGATATTATGCCGCTTTTATTAGAATGTTTAATGAGCTTTTTTCTTAGTAGATTAGGCGGAACACACAAATGCAAGCCATATGCTGCTTAAGGCACGCTCGTTAACTAACAATCAACCTATTGTTTGTTTTTATCAATTTCAAATTATCTGGATCCAACAACTTTATTTATTTAATTTTACTTCCTCATTGGTTTCGTTGTGGCTGACTCATAACACTTAAAATATGCTGATCATATAATAGCATGGTTTGATAGCATCACGTAGTTGAAAAAAAAAATATAACAAAAATATCCTAACCATATAGTAGTGCCTCTTGGATGAAGATGGCGCCTGGGTCGACTGAAGCAGCCATTGACGTCGAAGCGATTGTGCCTGATGGTATTGTGCTTGGCGCCGATGTCTGAGTAGAGGGAATATTTGGGAAACCTTTGAACACCAACAGATATACAAAGCTATAGATATTTTAAGCCAGAATAAACTATATGAAAGTCGTTTTTTTTTTTGTTTTTATTTATTTTGGTGCCTTTCGTTGGTTAACAACGTCGATCTGTCCTACGATAGCCTAATACGGTACTAGCATATGGCAGTCAGGATAAAGATAAATTTCGAATTAGTCAACTTTATTAAATAATGTCTCCCTTTATCCATGAACTGGCAGAACTCTCGGTCAAAGCTCTCCGACACTACTGTAACACTAAAGGCCTATTGCAGTATTAATGTTAAAAAAAGCTAAAACGGATGAAAAGGCAAAAAAATAAAGACCAGCTCTACTACCTTCTATGCGCAAACACTGGGAGTGGCCTGCAAATTGTCCTTTGTGTATGTTAAATATAAATCGATAAATTCTGTTATCCTCTGGTTGCAATTAACTTCTAAACCTATGAACTTTAAAAGCGATAAAATGTTTTGCAAAAATGTATGCAAGTCTAGCTGAACAGCATTTCAGTAGTGGCAATCTGCAGTTATAAAAAGCTTCATAGAATTTAGCATCTTCCAACAGTGTAAACATTAATGAAAAGAGACTCCACCAGTCACAGAACTAACGCTTGATCAGCTGCTCTATGGTACAGATTACAAGCACGTGCTCTCAGGCAAATCAAGCACACATACATGGTTACCTGAAAGTCCTAACCACTTGGCCAGTATATGAACCACCCACCCATGTATATTAGTTTCAGCAATTCTGTGGAATTACCCTCAATTGCAGAAATAGAATAAGCTGTCATGTGCTCCATGGCTACATAGATTCCTAACCAGGCAGTCCAAAGAGGTGCGTCTGTTATCAGTTTGTGGAAATAGCAAACAGAAACGTTCCTCACAATGTCCCATTGTGTAGTGCATGACCAAGAAAACAGCCATGCTATATTTTAATTTGGTGTCCAAACACTTCAGGCAATAACGAATCGTCTGCCTAGATGAATTTGATAACTAAAAAATGTGTCTGATCATACTTCACTTACAAGTGATAAGTATCTTAGTAAATAATCAGCGTCAACTGCACTGAATGACTATGTTTGGGGTTAGCTTCGACTGTTTTCATTTTTTGCGTTATAGTAAAATGCTTGTAATAGTAGTCGTCGCTAATTTACTAAATTTATACACTTTTTTCTAATGTCATTTACCACTATATAGTCGTATTTCATCAAATTCATAAACTCACGTGATTGTTGAGTGATTGTGCATTGTGATGTTGACTGTGGGGTCCATTGGCGCCCGTCGGCGGGGGTTGGGGTGAACCACTTCCCTGTCGAGCAGGGTTCGACGGGTCATGGGATGTATGATTCATTTGAGTGTGGCTAGTATTAGAAACGACTCCAATTCCTTGGCTGGGGGATTGTCCCCCTAAGGGTGATGGTGGCGAAGAGGCCAAAGGTGAGCATGGGGACCCTTCCGGCGAGTACGGGGTCGTCCCATAACCGGGTGCATTACTCCCGCCAGCGACGCCATTCAGAGATAACGCTATCGTGTCCAACGTTAAGCCCTACAGTATCAGTTCATGCAAAAGAATAACAATGGCATTAAGATCGTCACATGTGAGTTATTTGGCTAATGTAGTACGGATAATGACTATAAAGAGCGGTACGCGACTCCCTCAGATCCAGGCAGATTACAGACCCAGGCATACACACTCAACAAAACCACAGCCAACCTTGTTCAGTTTCGCCATTTCGGAGATAATAGGGAGCTGAAGAAAGCGAATAAGGTTAACACAAGCATGATGCAAAAGCAGGTTACAGGTGCTACCGATTCGTGTTTTCGTCTATTTCAAGCCTCTTAATACCAAACTAGGTACCCTTTAATGAATAGTCTGAACGTGATTTTTGGAAAATTATATTCTGATTTTGTTTTTTGGAACAAAATCTAAAAAAAATGTTAGGCTGGCTGGAAAGCTTTTAGAAAGGCTGATTTAATAGAGAACTATGGAGAGTCAAACGTATGCGAGTCTTCATAAAAATAATACCTAATGCTATGTTGATAGACAATACAACGTTTGCGTTACCACGCACATAATCTATAAGTACTACATTTTATGAATAAATCGATTATTGAAATGAAGGATGTTTCCTTTTCGAAAAATGTTATATTTTGGTTAAGAGAACAGTTGGACTATACCGATACAGTGGAACGTTGACAAGTAAAAACGAACGAAATTTAATTTTCTTATTATACGAAGTATATCATCAGTGCGCGGGCAATAGAATGAACAGCCTCTGCGGGAACAAGGCAACAATTGGCTTGGAACGATAACCATAACCTGACATAATTTTCAGACTCACACGTAAAATTTCATCTGTACATAGAAATGTGTTTTAGAACGTTTTCAGCTTTAATTTGCACAGTTACGTTAAGTTTTAAGACGTTTAATGTTGTTGTACTCACTCACTTTCTCTCGTTGCACATAAAGCATCACAGTCATATCAAAGCTTATTATAAGCTGCATCAATTGGCTCTTCTCTATGGACTAGAAGACTTATCGATTTCCCGTAAAAACACAAGTTGTGTCTCGTTACCAATGCCTGCAGTATCGATTTCTCCAGTCGGTCTCCGACTATTTGACTCACAAAACCGCATTTATAGATAAACTATATTGTTCATATCGCTGCAAAATACTGAAGCACAACGGTCTTATCTAAGTTCGTTTAATTAATAACTAGAAGGCGGTAGAGTCACGTAAGTCGTTTATCGAGTTGGGAAGAACTTCTAGTAAGGATCAAAGGGAAGCATGAGCTCTGAGCCCTTGATCAATCGATTGTTATCGACGTCCTGATTCTTACTTCAGCAAGCTTCAGGTCTCGCCCTAATACAGTATAATTATCGGGTATCATGCCGCAGTTGATCTCATCGACACCATAAGCAGATTCGATAATGCTTGTAGAAAAGTACATCATTAGAGGTATACGCGTCTATGCTAGACAGCATCTTGAATATAATGAGCAATTCTAGCAGCGTTTGCACATACAATAATGTTTAGTTACCCGTTCAACGTCCGACAGCAGTCTGGTGAAGCCTTGAAAAAGCTCCCGATAAGGACTAAACGATTTGACGACAATGCTCAAAAACCTCAGAGAAGGCAGCGTGAAGACTCACTCATGGAAATCTGCCGTTACCGATAACAATTCAATGAATACGTGTAACTATTGCGCTGTCTTCCGAGAATGTGAGACGTTGTTCGCTTAGTTACCTCTTTTTTTTGCATTGTATCTTGACCATTCGGCTGGTAAACACTGCTACTGTGTTGTTCGAACGCCTTCGCCAGGCACCGACACATCTCATAGAGTTATACGCACGTCTGTGTCTTCAACAGTGACCGTGAACGAATGGCTAATATCGCGGTGATAAAAACAATACAGACAGTATTAGTATTGACCTCTCTGTCGCTTCGACTGAGGGGCTGCGTACGACCTCCTGTTTTCGTTTAGTACCATTCGCCCCATCGTACGACACGGTACGATAACGCGGCCAGACAGAAGCGTTAAGGTAAAGTGGACACCGCACCGTCGTCGGTAACTATGTTCGACCACCGTAGCCAGATCTAAATGTTCCGTCTGCGTGTAGAGGCTCTTCCTTGTATCTATATATGTGGAATATATGTAGGTGAAAGCAGATATTTGCTACAATATCTATATTTAGCACAAACAAGGTTACAGTAAATAATATGGTAGAGCGCCTTTTCCTGTTGGTTGTATACTCACGTCGAAACATTCGACAACACATATTCAATCTGCGTGTGCCAGAGCGCAGTCTCACTTATACGGCAGAAAGGACGGATACGACGCGTGCAACGATATAGGCTGACTCGCTGCTAACTGGCCGCCGTGTCAGCCATCTGGTAAAAACGTTTGTTTAGGTGTAAGAACGTCAGCACAGACTTCGCCACATACAAGTAATCGCGATCTCCGCAAAAAAATCTGAAGAATAGTTAGTGTGAAAGGAAGAGAGAGACAGAGGGAAAAGAAGTTCGAGCGCTTCAGACAAAACGGTCAGCCGATCGTTGAGTTTTCACTGATGCGATGTCTACAGAGGTTAGTTAGGTTGCGACTTCAGTTAACATTGTTTATGGTGTGTGGTGTAATGCTATATCATTAGGTACGACTGTCTATGGTCGTTTTATGGCTGGCAAATTAGTCGTAAAGAGAGAATTTTCGAGGAGTGTAGGGCACCCATCGGAGACAGAATAGGCGACCGATACGACTACAGTAGCAAAAGCAGTTTTAGATGTTACAGGCTCTAGAAGCTTAAAAGCCGATTATTACTGCTGTTGTCGAAAATCAGACATGTTGTCACTGACCTCACTTGTTTTTCTTCGATAAAAAGAAAAGCGAAAAAATTTGAACACGAACTCCCAATCGGTGTCAGTCGGGTGGGTGAAGCCACATCAACAGCTAAGTGCTTCTGGTTCTAGTCCCGGATTTGTTACCCAGGTTACTTCTACGACTGTTAGCGGCACAGCAGTTTTAACAGTCACTTATGCTATTTGCAATAGTTCTGCCAAAGCTGCTATCCGGTGTTTCGTTTATATAACAGGAAACCCGCTTCTGGTTCAGTCCGGGTTTTTGATATTACCATTTTTTACGCAATGGTTTTGAACTGAATTTTACACAAGCTGTTTACCGCTGCACGTCACACTTTCATTAACACCACTTTACCAAATATTAATATAGTTAAGTTTACATGTACAGTATTCGATTGCATGTAACCAGTAGCGATGAAGTAATTCTACTGCTTCTCGTCCAGGTGCCATTTCTTGTCTCCGTAATAGCGTACCGATAACGTGTTCTTTTGCTCGCCTCAGACACACCTGGAGGTCTAAATTCGAAATAGGGCGTCGGCATATTTTGCTAGTTAAGCAGTGCCTGACACCTTAAACAGCAGACGTAAAACAGGAAAAAGAGCTTTAATAGTCGGTGTCTACGCCCAGGTATCGCTATGGCTCTTTTTGTCTCTTGTTTAGGGAGAAACAAAACAGGATAGCAGACGTCCAGAGATACAAGGAATAGACACGAATAACGATAGGCCAACAAAAAAGGCCGCAAGGTACAACGCCAGATACAAGCTCATTTGGCTTCGTTGGCGAATACAGCCGCCGAATCACAAATCGTATACAAATCAATTTGTACGCGCTGCTCAGCGGTAGAGGGCACCAGCCAACAAACACTAAAGCGGGTCTGTTAACGCGACGTAACGCAAACCCTCTAGCCATTTGCATAGGGCCTGTATTCAATGCCAGGCAGATTTTGGCCGGGCAAATTGCCTGCATAGTTTACATACGATGTCCTATCTATCTCAGCAGGCCTATACGCACAAAGCGCAGACCTGCGCACACGTTTGTCCAAAGCAACCGTGTTAAATGATCTAGCCAGTGCAGTTAGCGACAGCTAATCGGAGTGGCTACACTTCTGGGTCCCGAGTTATACAGACGGTGGTCAAATATATTTGGATACCTTGCGTAAACGACAGAAAAGGTGGCGTTTTCCAGGCCTATATGATGACTGCAATTTCTAACGTCTTCGCTTTTTAATCGATCGACAAATATTACCGACATTACTTATAACTGTTGTTTTGATAGGTACCTTAACAGATAAAAACTGATGACAGTTTTGTCCTCACTCTCGTCGAGGTTAAATCTGGGAAATACGGATTAGAGAGATCTTCAGTTCGCGACCTGCTAACAAATCGCGTCAGCTGCTCTATCTATGATAGCGAGTTCAACAGGAGCACCGAGAATTACAAATTTGGGACTTGTTTCGTTCCTGTTGCTACTCTTCAACAAAAATAATGTGTACTAATAACATATGTCTTGATTATCTATAAAAAATATCTCGTTTACTGCAATATTTATATCAACAACCCATTCGGGCATCTGGACGAATTTAAAACAGCATATTTAATAACTGATATGAAAAAACCAGATTGACCGGTTATCGCTAAAGTTAACAATATCGATGTGTACATTTCTCCTAGCGTCGTTGTGCTGCGGCGATATGGGTACTTTCGAGACCTTTTTCTGTAAAACTTCGTGTCAAGAACCAACGATTGTCGCGCTATTTTTTCTTGTTTTGGCAGTTGAATTAGGAATCGTCGCTTTTCCTAGCTACTCCTTTATCAAATATATCAGTTATTAAAAATGAGAAGGTACTACTAGTTTCTCTAATACTATTTGAAACTAATTCGTGTACAAAATCTACAAGTATCCTTGGCGCGCAAGTGTTGCCGGATACATTAACAGATCAACGGCTTCATACACACTCGAATACATAAATGCTTTTTCCCGCCAATTGTTGTGTAATATATTTAATATAGATCGTATATAGTTACGTAAGGCATAACAATAATGACGCGATGCCGAAATGCTATACGCACATATATATACGTATGTAAATATTTGTTTTTGAAGCTGCTAAAGTTAGCCAATAAGTCTATATTGTAAATAATTAGCAATAAGAAAACTATCTGTAGACAGTATGATGAAAAATTCTATATAATAGTCGGCAAAGAACGAATTTATAACTCTGAATCTGTATGTAGCAGAGGAGTATGTAATTTCAGTTTTTGAAGAACCCTGATTCCATCCATTATCGATCTCAAGGTGAGCTTTGAAGGCTGAATTGTAAGATTACTAGACGACTTTTCTAAAATCTTTGTTAAAGGAAAACAGTCTCTGTGTTTTTCTACAGGGAAGGAAATTATCATAAAATCGGCTGTAATTAGTGCATAGACTGCGGTATCGCGCGATGTCACGGTGATCGCGTTTCCTCTGACACGAGCGTGATTTTTGACCCTCTGTACTCGGACGATAATATTGATTTCCGCGGTCATATAGAAACAACTAATTTTCAACAGCGCCGGGCCATGATTGATGTGATGTTGAAGACCCAGTAAACTATTATTATTAAACTAATATTGTCAGCCATTATGACGACAATGCCGATAACAATTTAGGTCAAGTTTACTGTTACGAAACTGTAACACTTAAACTAATAATTAATAATAATAACTAGGTAAAAATTTATATCATTATATTAGTGCAGATTTTTACGATTCATGGGTCTCTGATAGAAACAGATTAAACAAGACATTTGCAGTATACTGCGGAGACAAGCAGGATGTCTTTCTCCACTTCGTAGTCACGCTCCTGTATTAGTTTTCTTCTAGTTACGAGAGGAAGCGCTTTGATTAAAGTGGAGGCGACAACCAAAACGAGAAATTCAGCCCCTAAAAAAGGCATATTTCAATGGCCGAACAGCGAAATAACGAGTGGCTAGTTTGGCCGAACATGTCTGCTCTTGCCGCCGTCGTATGCCAATGAGACAGCGTACATAGAACAGCGGGAAAAAAGAGTGTTTTAAGAAGCCACGAATTGAGAAAGTCACCGCCATTCATGAAGCGCTCATCAGAAGTATCTGTCATGTTTACGGTAGACTCAGCCGAATATCATATGCATACATACATATCTATATCGAGGAAAGAGTAACAAAAAATTTTATGTAAAGCGATAGTAGTGACACTGGCTACGTTCAACGGTGTAGAATACGTCATATTGCTTTGTCTACATATTGACCGGGGGTAAACGTAATGATTATTGATATAACGATACAAAATCAATTATCTCGTTGACACAGATAACACTGCCATATACCACTAGCTCTGTACAACAATTGAAGAAGAGTTGCTATTAATAATAAGAATGATAATTATTATCACCACTCAAATGTTGAGCTAAATTTGTTTACATACAAACAATTACTATTTTATCCTTCAATAAACACCACTACATTACCACACATTGTAAGACGCACATACCTCAACGGTAATCCTGGGCGGTGATACCTGCGGGTTCGCCAATTGGCCTGCAGCTGTACAATTTGACTTGTTACCATTGTGCAGTGGCTGTTGTTGTTGCTGTTTTTGCTGTTGTTGCTGTTGTTGTTGGCTAGCGCCATCAGGAACCGCGCTACAGGAACCAACAACACTTGTGGACACTGATGGTCCGCCAGCGGTTGGTCCTATTAATGCTATCATTGGCTGATGGACTGGCGAGCCCTGACAATCGTGGAAATCGTGGTAGTCGCTATATACGCTCTCAGGAGAGCCGTCGAGGCTCGTTACGCCGGACACGTGGCTCGATACTGGGTGGACACCATCAACGATTGTGCTGAGTGGACCGTGTGTAGCAAAATGGAGATTGGTTAGGTCGGGTAGAGAACCGGAATGACCCAATGCCATTCCACCAGGCGCTGCGCTGGTAGGCGGCGGTGAGAGATGAGCCAGACTTGGGATCTGGACATGGCCCATGGGACCCCGAGTATCAGCTTCGGCCGAACGCGGTCGACATGGAGTCTGGTCGTCGGGGTAGAGACCCAACTGTTGCATGACTTCCGACTGTGAACACGAGTTCACTGGAAGACAAACAAAGAAAGGTAAATAGTGATGAGAACTAACTGAAAGATAAAATACAACAGAAGAAAGGTAGCGACTTACTCAACGTACAGCCCATGCTTCAACATGCTTCAACGGCAGGGGTATGGGGGGTGAGTGTACTGTTTCCGGTTCATATTCATGATCAGTGTTAACAACGAGCTGCTAGTTATAAGAAGTTTCATTGATTTTTTTTCCTCTTATATCATTCGGATTAGCTCTTAACATAATGCTTAAGTAAACAAGTAATCTAAGAATGGAAGACGATGGCGACAATACGAACACAAGCAACGAAATTCAAAAGCAGTGATAAACATCAGTAGGAAAGCTTTCGTTAGTGAAAGGAGAAATCATGTGGCGTCGTCTGTGACATAAAAAGATCAGTGATATGGTAACTCATAAAAAGCGGCATGCTTTTGCCAATGTTTGCTGCCAATTGCAGATGTTTTTCAGTCAACGCTTCTAGGGAGTCTGCAATACGGCTCAAATTGGCTTTCAAAGCTTTCCGATGCTACAAAATGGCTCTAAATCACTTTGCGTAAATTATTAACAAAAGTCGTAAATGACCTCGGCGCCAAGAAATATTCTAGACTATGATTATATTATAATAACTTTTGTATGTTCCGTTCAAAGTAGCGCATCAAAACACCACCTAAAATGTTGCAAAAAATAGATCTATGAAAGCCTAGGTAGACAAGATCTTCGACCAGCACGTTTGACGCCTGATGGTGGTAAAGCTGATTAGCTCCTATAGTGTCTATCAAAATGTCAACTTGTCGACTATGAAATCCTTCCGATTGAGTGTTGCTGGCTGATCGATGACGACACATTGCATCTCAACGAACCCATCGAAGCAGTTAACACCTGAGGTTTGTTAAATCAGTAGCAATACCCAGACACTTCTTGTGGTGGGGTCCACCAGCGCTAGCTATGTTCACACAACTTGTATCATACGCATACTTGCATTTAGGTTGACCTATCGCTATGACGTGTGTGAGCTCTTTTTTAGGCATAAAAGCGCACGATGCCATGTGTACGTTGCTATAAGAAGAATTTGTGGCCTCGAAGACCTTTACTGTCTCGAATACCCTCTCCGGCAATCGCAACAATGTATGGATCACGTAGTACTCTGACAATCAGTCTCTCTTGAGTGATTTTCATCCTCATTATTGTTTACGTCGGTACAAACCGTTCTGACCGCATAACTGTCCTTTGCCACTACTGTTACCATAAGTACTAATACAAATAAATGTTAATGAACAACCGAGGCTGTGTTCATGACTCGCCGGACACCTTGAGCGTGCTTTAAGCGTGACAAAACGTCGAGAAATCTACATCCTGTCAGAATCGTGCAGAACGCATCGTATCGTGGTGACGACACACTAACAACGTTGCAGCCGAAATAATTAAGGTAGAAAATAATTTGAGAAAGGCTTTAATTCTTAACTAATAAACTCTTGGTATATAATATTGTTTGTAAAGTAAACTATTTATTTATGCTGTTTAGTAGTTGCTTCGTTACAAATAGTGATAGAATAGAATTAAGTTTGTGCTTTACCCGCTGTCACGTAGTGTTAAATGCTTAGGTACTAAAATGGCAAAGTAAAATTCGTCTATCCTCAGTGACTGATTCGACTTGCGAAGAACCCACTTCGACCCAAACACGTTTTGGTATTACGTTTCGCTCTTATATGTAGAACAGTTTTGTGAATAATTGCCATTGCAGCGGTGACATCAAGATTTGTCTTTGTAGGTGATATTTTTGCCGAATGGCTTCTTCGTCATTCTACTTCTAAATTATACTAACCTGTACTTCTTCGATGCGATGGCGAAGTGGTCGTCTGATGAAAGTTGGCATCCCTCAAAGGACTTTGGTTGATTGCGGAGTCCGAGTTTGTTCTCCGCCAATTGGAATCGTGCGGAAGAGGCAGGTAATTGGACGATGAGTACGGTGACACGTCATACTATAATGTGAGACAGGTTTAAACATAGTATATCGAACGGAAAACATTCTTAGCCTAAAGCTTTATTTCTTCCATCATAAAGATATTCATGACTAAAAACTATTAATATGTATTACGGGTCTTCCACCGAAAAACATTGAATTTGACACCAAAAGAATTATGAAGTTAGTACTCTGAAAATGTCGCTGTTCGTCACTATTATATACGATAGGAGATAAACTATACATTATGATTATATATATAAAAACGTTTGATAAACCTTTGAGTGGCTTGTCTGTACATGCTTGCTATTGCAGAAACCCTCGGCTGATTTCAATACGCCAATAACAACGACACGATCGACATATATTTATTCCATATTTATTTCCCTATGAAAATATCCTGCAGGTAGAATACAAGACAGTCATGGTACTATATACCACAGACATTCAAAAACCTAGAGAGTAGTCTAACTTATTGTTGTTGTTGTTGACATCGTTGGTTGGATATTGTCATGACCCAATGAAAGGTCGTTAATTAGGAAAACAGCTTGTACAAAAGGACGCTGCTAGCAAAGGACGCACTTCTAATGCGCTCAGTTGTCCAAGTATTCCACTCATGTGTAGGGCCCGGCTTAGTTCGTAACGTCCCGCTTTGTGCGTAATTTCCGTCCATTCGACATGCAACTTGCACAGCCGAAGTACCTTTACCGACCCCATTGTTTCCCTTATATGGCGTTCTCGTACACAGTGAGTTCATTCATTGGCGGATGCCGCTTCAAGCGCACGCGCCGTCCTTATACATATGTGGGAGGACCCAGGATGTTATACTGTGCTATGTTTTTTTTCTATTCTATTATATTCTATATTCTAATTTTATTTGGACCATTGTACGTCGGACCAGTAGAGCTATGACTCAAACACGTGTTGCTGAAGCTGTGCGGGAGCTGTGCGCTGAAGGGTGAATTCGAAATGTGCGAACATGTTGAAAAGTAATAATGCAATAGAACAAAAAAAAACGCTAAATAAAGTCAAGGAAACTAATTCATTAAAAAAATAGAATACCGTGGACGGAAATCAGCGAAACGGCACGTAAGGATGGACGAATGCCAAGGGGAAAGAGGGGTTAGAGTTGAAGTTAGGTCAGCTACTACAGACTTACCCGTTGGTGTGAGCTGGCAGTCGCAGCTCGCTGCCGATGATGAGCCCTTCCCCGGCCGGGGCTGACATCCCCACGTTTCATGCTTTCAAGGCTGTTGAGGGCATCGGCAAGATCGATCTGCGAGTCTTCACCAACGGGCCCGTTGCGTCGGGCTCCTTGTAGACCGCCTTGGCCAGTGGTGCCTTGAGCGACATTCGGTAGTGAACCACCACGGAATGCCCCCAGCCCTCGGGGCTCAGGAATATTCAAAAGAGGTCCGCCTGATCCTCCGGAGCCAGATGACCCCCCGCCCGAGTCGGCTACGCCTGTTTTCGCACTGACTCCGGCAGAGACGGCAGCCTTCGTCTCCTAAAAACATATAGGAAAAGATCGAATATTATTAGCACCAAGGTACTTTTTATAGTAAAGTTATTGAAAAGTGCCTCAATTGGCATTTGAGTTAGATTAGAACACATATAAATGTCACCAATAAGCAGGATAGGTAGAGTCGACACATCGATCAGGATTTCAAGTTATCAAGTTTATCTATATACACCGATCTAACCCACGAATGTTTCATACATCACGCTTGAATAAAATTATTTACAAGCTTCTTACAGCTATTACGGTGTACTGGATAGCATTGATACTGAATTATTTTTAAGAAAAATTGTCAACAGCAAGTCTGATAGACAATATAATAGCTTTCTACCCATTTACGATACGGAATATGATTTTGACTACCCACATGTTTAAGGTTCGTAGTAATACTGCTTGATCGACAAAAGTTGTCTTCTAAATATGGTCCTCCTTTTATTACCGAAAATGTCACTTTAATGAAAATATTTGTCTCAATATTAGCGAGAGGAAATTCGTGCAGACGTTCGCTATAAGGAAAATCAAGTGTCGGGGCGACAAACTAACCAATAAGTAACTGAGCTGATTAAAGATAAACAGGGTTTTTCGTTCCTTACAATGTGAGTCCCGCTGAGACCAAAAAAACAGCTGCATTTATAGATTGTATCGCAGCTTTTCTCCCTTGCTTTTTTTCTACTTAAGTCAATACAGTGTTTTAAGAGTTATTTAGTAATGATCGAATGCAGTAAAATCGAATGGAAAAGCGACCTTGTCATCGTTACCTGTCCCCTTATACTACCGTACATAGTTATAAACAACGATATATGTTTACACTGATCCTGTAGTATATGTTATCAGCGGCAGCCCGAACCAGAATGTGTGCAATATACATTATTTACAGCCGGTAATAATATCACCACCAAAGGGGGCTATGTACCTAAGGTCTGTTGTTCATCCATGTCGTCACGTGTACCACAATGACAGTCGAGTCACCTGTTAGAATAATCATCAAACTTCCTCAAAAACTTAGTTGAAACTTGAGTAATTTCACAGTAAGTTGTAAATTGAATTAATAAAACGGAAAAGAAACAAAAGCAAAGGTTAAAAAGAATATGAGTAGATACTGTTATTCAACCATAACGTCTGGTACCACGCGAACGAGCGCTGTCATCAACTAATTCTGTATACGATTTTACGGTTACCGTTATATGATGCTAACTATCAACGATTAGCCTGTTTTTAAGGTTGACCATAACCTATATGTAACCTCACCTAAACGTAACATCGACACAGTACTCGGTTTTCATTTTCCTATGCCTGGCGTATAGTTAATGCCGTTTGTTGTAATGAACAAATCATGTTATTAAACTCAGTGGAACAATAAAATAAAAATTCACGACAATCTTGTCAACTATCGTTGTTTATTTTCTTCAAAACTCCTGAACGGCAACAATAATAATATGTTTACCGTGTCTTTTATTTGCCGGCAGACAGTTTTTTGTTGTTACATGAAATTTCCCATACAACAAGTGAAAGCTGTCTATTCAGTCTGCGCTGCCTGCTGCTGACGGCATAGAAAATCGACCTCATCGAGGCTGTTGTTAGCAATTTCTATTTATCTTCTCGTCTCTTATTAAACTTAGATTGATAATTTTAAATTAATTTCTTCAGCGGGGCACGATACAGTAATGACATAGCATCTCCTAGGCTGTCCTTACAAATATCTAAGACATAGGACGCAAAACCTAACCTATTTAGGAGATGAACAACACTGAAACTTCCGTCCGATTTAGTAAACTCGCTCCCGTCTATTTCAGTCAAGCTCACAGCTAAAATATACAACTGTTTTGCATCATCTGACGCTTGCTAAACCATTATTGAACTTAGCAGCCCACAACACAGTCTTTACTAGCGCGATTTTGGCAATTTTTTCCAATATCGCACCATCAATGGTTGTATTATCGCTAGTACTTATAATATGGAACTTCTGGTTTTCAAAAGCAAAATATATTTGACCAAAAGTAGTCAAATGAGCGAATCAACAATTTCTTCATATAGCTAAGCTTCGTATAAGCGTATCTTGCTTTTCAATATCTATAAAAGTGAATACCTCATTAGATTAATGCTACTTCGCCTTCATATACCAGAGATGCGTTTCACTGCTTAAAGGCTGAAGTACCTTTATGAGTAACTTGTATAATAGACTATATACAGTAGGTTATACTGTTGAATTTGAACATAGACTATGCATATAGTTAACGCATATTTCACCTGGGGGAATTTTAGAAAGCTTCACGCGGGAACACGAAGCCAACTGAGCCAATACTTTTGCTTCAGAAGACAAGGCTTGTTCTTCCGCACAGACAATGTTTACTTAGTTGGTCATAAGCCTGAACCAATGACCTTTTCGTCATTTTTCATAACTGAGAACAGGCCCGCACCAAGGCGACCAATGCTGTCGTCTGCTCTGGTATATCAACAAATGAGCATGTGTTAGTGAGTGTGCTTAACCTGTGCTTCACAACAAACTTCGCTTAAACCATATCAAAAAGCTATTCGACGTTACTTCTGTTAAAAATATAATCAGTTCATTGTTTTTAACTTCATAGCTATTTCTATAAGCGAAAAAGCTTTTTCCTTTGCTTTCGATCATCCTTCTTTAACGCTGGCAAAATATGGCGACCTCTTATGTTTTCGGTTCAATTCATAGCTTTTGTAGGATGTTCGGGTGGGTCAATTCTTTTGTATAAACGGATCTACGGAAACTTCTCCTATTCCGAGTAATTAACAGCGGCCTCGCTTCTTAATACTTCATTTGTGACCGTTAATTTTCTAAATCAAGGCAAACTTTGACATGATAAAAGTATGAGGTGCCCTCTTTGAGACATACATATTTGAACAATAAATACAAATAATTTTATAGTACATTATTATACACATGCAAGCATTCTCGCTGGTTTTTTGGAGATATACTGCTACAACAAATCGCAGTTTGTCATAAGGATAAAGGTTTGTAAATACGAATCTGTTCCGATGTGCATGTAGTAAACAGCCGCTCTCTTCCTTTGTAGGATTTTGTGATCCTCCCTAACGATCTCCGACCACACAGGTTACCGTGGCAACATATTCATCTATTTGCTTAACGAGATTTCACCTATGCACATTCTATAAAAAGATATCTTACTATCTTATGATGGCAGAATGGTTTCATTTGCTGTCATGCTTTGCCTCTTTTTTTTCTAAGAAGTTTGTTCGCCATCGAACAGCTATTATACCCCCGTCGGCAAGTACCGATCGCCCCGTTATAAACCCTCGTTTTCTTCGCGCGCCCCGTTGTACAACAACAAGCCTTTAGGGCATCCATGCTACATAGCTTCCCGTTTCCCTGAGTCATCGACGTTCTACCACGTGGTTAACCAGCAATGGCGAGAGTGACTCACTGAACTAGTTGGACATGCGCTGAGTGAGGGTAATCAGAGCGAGGACCGAGCTGTTTGAGTGTGAGGAGTTTGCCGAACGAACGCCGTGGGACTGGTTTGACTCAATACCTGGAAGTGCACCTCAACTTCCCACGACCTTCACATGCAGCCGTTAAAACGACAATGGCGACCGCCGTTCTCCGGAAACGTGTGCGAGTTTATGCATCTCCAGCATGTTCCATGTTCCATTTTCAGGAACTACTAAATACTTACATATTCAGAAGCGGTACATTCCAAAACGACACAGAAACGGTCGTGAACGGTTGTTACCTGAACCTTACACGATATGGCAGAGGCAGCATAGATTCGAAGGCATGATAGACAGACTTCTAGGCCTGCGGAGGTGACCGAGAATGAACACGAGCGAGAGAGAAAGTTGAAAAGAATGGAAGGAGAGAGTGGAAAAGAACGAGCAAAATAAGACCCGAATCCAGCTGTGAAAAGAGATTTTATCGAAGAATTTCGAATTCAACATAATAAGTACCTACATGCGAACGGAGGATCATGCTTAGACTCATGCGCCTTTAACAAGAAATTCTTCGCGTCTAACCGCGACGTAAAGGGGCACAGCATCTGTGGGGCGGGGAAGACGTACGATGCCGGATCACGAAACGTGACTTGAGCGTCAATCCATTATATCATGTAAACACGCCGGTTCCTAGTAATGGTAGTAGCGCCTAAAATTGATTTTTACCGTTTGGAAAAAGGCGTTGTGGCTCATAGTCAGCCATATCAGCTATAGTATGTAAACATTAAAGCCATTTTCCTGGTAAGAGACTGATTTAACACCTTCCCTGTTCGTGCGTACCCTATTTACAATCATCGTCCCTAACTAAGAAAATGGTCAGGTACGGCTTGTTAGAAACTTTCAGCGTTATCAACCTGCAATTCTTTATGATCATTTACCAGGCAGCGATTCTGATAGCAGAGACCTTCAATGGCCTCAGACGTCGTCTTAGTAAAACTAATGCTTTCGGACCACCGCTAATAGATAGTCATCTCTTGCAAATATAATTAATCTTCTTGGATAAATGGAAGCCGTCAGACAGATAGTTGTGCAATGTAAACTGTTTGTAGTTTGAATGGAATAGGTCACTGTCATTTTTTCAAATATTTTCAATAGAATTGAATCCAGACCGTAGTTTGAGGCTGGTTGTTGCAATTTGGGTACACACAGTTTAGCTAAGGAATACAGTAACAAGCCCTCAATTCTTCAAGTAAACAGCGCAATCATAATGGTCTAGTGGTGTGTATCTACCACTTTACGGTCATTTTTCACGTGGCCACGATAATTGTTGAAATGTTTATACCGAACTCGGAAAAATGCAAAAAGCATCAATATATATACATGTCGATACCATAAGTTAGCATTCATTGTCTGGTATATTGCCCAGAGCAATTGGTCCAGAGTTTTAAGTTATGCAGTGGTTTCGCTGTATATTAGCTTTTCGAAAAAAACATGGAGCGTTTTTTCTAGTAATGTGATCCTATAGTCGCATGTCTTTGTTAACATGACTAGCGTCGGCGCTACTC